GGTAAAATGGAATTTCTCGAAGTATCCAGGCACATTCAGGCCGACAGAAGTACGGGTGCAAAGTATCGCAGTTCCAGCTGGGTTAGTTTATGCGATGTTTGTGTATACATGCTTCTGCACACAAGCCAATCTGCCACTAGAAGGAGCATGGCGTGGTAATGTACTGTCTGCCCGGGAGCCACTGTGAGCGAAAAATGGTCGAATTAAGTATCGCAGCAAACAATCAACTGCACGTTTGAGTACCGCAATGACGTAGTTTTGTGAGCAACGGCAGAGTCAGCCGAAATGGAAGCCGTAGAGGGGCGGGAGAACGACTCCCGGACACCTGGCTGCGTGCGATTTCAGAGCCTTGCCTTCAAAGCCCCCGAAAGCTTGCCGCAACCAACGAGATGATTCGAGACTTCAACTGACAGTGTTCGAGCGCGCGAAATTATACAACGGTCCTGTCAGGTCCAGTTCCTTGAGCAAGTGGGCAGTGCGTCCGAGGCGCGTTGGAACAAGAAACTGATGTTGAAATCAGAAAGCTGCATTGGAAGCTCGCCGTGCCCAAGTACGTGTCCATAGTCCTGGAAGTCGCTAGCTAGGGCACATTGCCATAGCTCACTGGTAGACTCTTCTTGTGTGTCTGAGTTAGTGCGTTGATATCGCACAGCTGTGCTCACTTTCAGCTCAAGATGTGGATGCGGGTGTTGGTTCGGCCAGCTTCGGCTCAACAGCATCCGCATGGCAGTGAAGTCGATTTCTGAGCTGGTGTAGTCATGACTGAGTTTAGAGTTTAGGGTAATCAGTAGAGACAACCACATCTGCAATGATTTCCTCGGAAAGTGTCCCTAAGATGTCTCTCAATCCCGTCGGCATGCTTGACATGTTCGGTTGCAGCATGAGGGTGACCGGGTGAGCGGCCCAACACGGGCTGAAAATTCGACAGGCTTAGAAACAGTTCCAAAGATATTGCCGACCATCGCGCTCTCAAGCCTATCAATGATAAGTAGTGTTGGCAGAGAAGTGACGAGGGCTTTAATTTGCTGCTTTGCTTCAGCGCACCAGCCCTTCTCTGTTTGCGGGATGGTGCGGGTCGTTTGGCCCTGAACGGATGGGCAAAGGCGGTGGCAAAGGACGCCGCAGAGGTGTGTTGCACTTCGCCAACCAGGCCGCGGCCGCATCATGGTGCATGCGCTTGCTTACCTTATTTGGTGTTTGCCTGAAGCTATTGCGCAGCTTCTGCTAAAGTTGTAAGGGTCTGGCCAAAATGCCTTACCATGTTTTGCCGACGTATCTGGTTTCGCACTTTGGGCGCGCAAGATCATGTTAGAAGCCTCCAGGGTCTCAGTGATGCGGACATTGCACAGCCACCCGGCAGCATAAGAAGGCAGCATTGGATGACTTTGGCTCGTTTGGAAGAGCGGTAGCTTGGGAGTGGAGGTGGCCTGAGGCCTTGTCGGCGTGGATCATCTATGGTGGGACTAGAGCTCATCGAAGGGAGCAACCACTGGCTTTGAGGGCAAAGGATCACCGACAACGATACTGTCGAAGTAGCCGGAGTCAGTCGTTTGGCCTTTCTGGGCGTTTGGATACGCTACAAGAAGATCAAGAAGGAACTCCAGACCTGTGTTATGTAACTGCTACGTATGTATTCGCACTGCAGCTCAGAGGTTGGATCTCTGCACAGAGTATGACAACGACTACGAAGAAGTCGACTTTTCGGCATCCTGGTCTTGAGTTCTGTTGGATTGAAAGGAATGTCAGCTGTGCACAAGGAGGCCTAGGAAAAGTGGAGCGAAACTTAGACGCGAGGATGGCATGCACCCTACTCGCATAACATCACGTGTGCAGTGATTGCCTTCTGAATGCTGACTAGCAGTTGAATCGTACCAGTCGAAGCTGCTTATCCGGATTGTCAGTACAACCTGAAGTAGCCATAGAGTTGTTGCCACAGCAGCAGGATTGCCCACAGGAAGAGAACACAGCATCTCCCTGTACTGTGCAGCAAGGACAACAGCTTCTCTGGCCGTGGCTTGCGCTGTATCCTGGACCTTTGCAGTCGCTGCCGTCGACTCAAGGCAAACCTGGTGACAATCTGAGGGAAAAATCGTGGAAGTGCCGAGAGATGTAAATTCCCAAACTGCGTGCGTGGAACGGAAAGCCATTTTTGCTATGAGTGATTCCAAATCCTACGGGTTTCAAACCCACCATTCGGGAAAAGGGTTTGCTTCAAGGTTCTTGAAGCGCGAAGGCAGGCTGAGACGAGCCAACTCCTTTGCGAAGCTCCGCAGAAAGCCAGCCGAGCCCACCCACAACTGATGAACACGCATGCAGCACCACCAGCACCTCCATGGCTGTCGACAGAAGCGACGATGTAGACAAATAGCTCAAAGATCGCTTGTTTCCGGTGCGCGGTTCGACGTTGCGCAACGACGACAACATCGACTCGGAGTTGCAGAGCAATTTCCAATCCCTCAATGTGCGTTTGAGGCACAGCCGAAATGGAATGACTTTCCAAACGCCTAAAATGTCTCATGTTCTGGAATCTCAGGCATTCTTTCTTTGCAGGTCGCCCATCGTCACGTAGGTCTTTTGAAGGAAGCCAATGCATCCTTGCACCTGTGTGAAAGTGTGCATGCATGTCTTCAGCTCAGTGATTGCAGTCAGTACGAATCACCTTGCGGAAGTATGGTCGCAGGTACTCGTAGCATCGTACGGTACTCTTGAAACAATGCCAGCTTCTGTCCACGTGGAAACCATGCCCGGCCGCGCTCGGCGAGGTCCTCAAGCTCTTCAAGAACGACCTCGATGATAACGGAGCCGCCACCTGACCTTGAAGCAAGTCTTGGGTACCCGGTTCAGTATCTGCAGAGCAGATTCTGGAATCCATTGCCCAGGAATTGTTGGCGCGATTTCTGGAGCACTGCCCAAACCTGGAAGAGCTCCATTTGTCGCACAACAGGAGCCATGGGCAACGGACACCTGACATCCCTTCTGCTTCAGGTGTTTGTTTCAGAAGTGTTTTTTTCGGATCAAAGCCCTCAATAAAACTCCGATGCGACCAGCTTACCTGCATTTCTCAACCACCGGCCATGCTTTCTTGCCTCGTTCCTCGGAACGAAACCCAAGCACCTCCTGCTGAAGCCTGCGAGGATCTCGAGCACCGGGGCGCTGAGCCTCATCTCTGCTGGCAGTTCCTGCCGACGGGAGGGGGATACGCCTCTGTGGCTGCGCACTTTGGGCTAAAACCAAGGGGAGACAAAGCACCGGGTGGGTTGGCGAAGCACGACATCACAGTGTATGACAGTGCATGCGCAGCATCACCAGGCAAACAGGCTGACCAGTGTGGGGGGTGACGAAACCTGTCTCTCGTGGGGCCAAGGTCTCGAGCACAATTGCCTCGAAAGCGTGGAAGAGGCAAGCCAACACTTGCCATGTGCGGGTTTCTGGGTGCAGATGTGCCTGCGTCCAGAAAGTGTAGAGCAGACAGGCTGACGCTTAAAATTTTGTCAACTCTCAGGCCGAGTCGTGGCTGTACCGACAGTACAGCGCTTCTGGGCCATATTTGGAGGAGTTTGAAAACACTGAGGGACTCTCTGTCCGGAAGCTGCCTAGGTTTGCTACAAGCAGAATGCGGAGTGCACGGCGAGGTACTGCAAGTACCGTTGCAAGGCACAGGGGGGCTGTCAGGGTGGGTGACGGTTTTCTGACAGCCTGTTCTCAGCTTTGGCTGAAGCCCTCGTACTACTCCTGGCTTGCTCGTCGGCTTTCGCCTGAGATTCACGCGCCCTACATGGCAAAGCAGTCTCCTCGAGGCCTGGAGAGTGCCGCTCTCCTGTGACGTCGGCGAATCGCGTGCTGAGGACATTCACATCAGTCACCCCGGCCGACATCGGAACCAGGCCGGCAGCGGAACACTTCAAGCCGTCACGGGAATCTCAAAGTCCACAAGATGCAAGCTTCAAACCTGTTGGCAAGCTTACCCGCCACATGCCACGCAGGGCGCCATCGCACCTGGTCCCATGCGTACGTGCAGGACCGGGCAGCTGAGGAGGCCCGCCTGATTTAGTTTCGCGTGCAGAGTCTCGAGTGCAAGCATTCCAGGCGAGTTATAAGCGCCAACGCTCCTGGCAAAGGCCAGAGGTCACTTCTGGAGCCTAAGAAGTCTGGCAGCGGAAATTATATGACGGTGGCAGCTCAGCGGGAGGCATGATGAGGGTCGAGGCAGCGGTCACGAAGACCGAGATCGCTGGGACCGAGGTGAACACCGGACTGAGGAGCTGCATTTGAAGAAGGAGCGCTACCGTGAGACGGAAGTACTCTGCTTCAAAGTGCTTGCAGCTCGCATAAAGGAGGGGCTTGCGGCGCAGTGCGCTGATGGCAGCCGCAGCCGGGACACAAGCATTCAATTCCACGTGCTCGGATCAATTTGGGGCTCCGGGATGCGCCTTCTTCTCCATGTCCAAAGTCCAATCATTCCGCGCGGGCTGACCTTTTCCTTTTTTCTTGGTTTGCCGACTGCTGGATAGCAGCTTCCAGGGATTGCGAGAGATAACGGGGCACTCTTGTGACCCCCGGGTCTTGGAATGACTGGGTGTGAGAAGTTTGTGACTGGGCTCTGTGAGTTCGGCGTGGCCCGTGAGAGAGGCTGTGAGGATCTTGTGAGAAACCTGTGAGAAAATCTGTGACAAACCTGTAAGCGGGTGGAGTTTGGGTCCGGCCGGTGAATCCAGGCTTCTCATAGCTTTCTCACAGCTTTGTTTTACAGACCCTGGGCCACCGGATTTCATTTCTCACAGGTTTCTCACAGAACTGCTAATTGGGGGTCACAAGGGCATCCATCACCTAGAGAGCTCCTCGGACACCCGCCGAGCAAAGGTTTGCAACACGGGCCCTCACTTGGCGGCGATTCTCGCAGACCGGAGGAAGCCGCAGCCGCACAGCCCTGTGGATCTCGTGCTCGGCACGGCAAATAGAGTGTGGGATGGGATTCTGTGTTCTGACCGCAATGCATGCCTCGGCTGGGGCACATGCGTATGCCTGCAGCCGCTCCTCGGCCAAGGAGCTAGAGGCGAGGTCAAGGGCGAGGTCAAGGAGGCAGCGGGTTGTGAGAGAGAAGCAATCCTCCGGCCTTTGACCTGCAAGGAGTCGGAGGATGATGTAGAGATTGTGCCACTTTGCTGAAAGCTGGGACTTCGTGAGATTGAGCCATTGACCTACATGTAGTGGAGTTTTGCCAAAAACCTGCAGGGAGCCCGGCAAAGGCTCGGATTCCGCGTCCGAGCTCCAAGGCTCGGAGCTCCAGGCACCTGCTTTTGACAGAGAGCCCGAATTCTCAGCTGAGCCTTAAAGGAGAAGGAGAGGGTTCTTTTGGTGCGTCCCCCCGAAGGCATGGGAAGCTGCCCTCCGACGATGGGAGGCCCGGATTGGCAGCGGTTGCATCTGTTGGCGGCATCTCTTGACAAGTTCCGTCGCATGGCTTTTGCTGCAGTTCCGCCCAGACTTGAGCTGGGCAGGCCCGTCTCGACACGCGGGAGAAGAAGATCCGGGCTCGGAGCCTGAAGCGGACCAAAGGTCATGGCCATCATGGCCATGCCGAAGCGCAGAATCCACCGAGGCCTTGCAGTCCTCACTACCTCGCGCGGCCCGTGAAAAGCTCGCACAGCTCGTACCGCCCCAGGCCCGGAGTAGGGTAGTTACTTGTAGTTTGTAATCTCATCCGGCCAAACATCCAGCCATGCCCCTACTCTCAGGTATTGTCCGGCATGGATCTGGTTGTGGGATGTCTTCTGCTTGGGGTTCCGATAGGAAATTAGAGGAGAAATATCAGGGCCGACCACTGGTGGCTGTAGCAGGGGTAGAAGTAAAAGTACTTAGCTGTTAGAAATAAATGGATTGTTCTTAGTGCTTCGCTTCGTAGTTAGTAGTTGGTAGCTCTATTGTAGTGAGTAATAAGTGGAGAGTACTACGTCGTAAGACGTCGGTAGTCGTAGCAGCAGCAGCAGCAGCAGCAGCAGCAGCAGCATGGCAGCAGTAGCAGGAGCACGAGCACGAGCAGGAGCAGGAGCAGGAGCAGGAGCAGGAGCAGGAGCAGGAGTGGCGGTAGCAGTAGCAGTAGTAGCAGCAGGATTAGCACCTTGAGTAGCTGCAGTGCCTGTAGTACTACATAATACCAGTAGTAGCAGTAGCAGCAGTATAGTAGTCGTCGTCGTACTAGTGTAAATTAGTTAGTGCTAGTACTGGTATGCTGAACAGGGCTTTTTGCTTTGCCAGGTCGTCCTCCCGCGAGACCGGCCGTATGCCTTTCAAAGGGCTTTGGCAGAGGCGAGCAGGTACTCTTTGCTCAACTCTTCTGCTTCCTGGTCTACAGCCCATTGTTGCCAGGCGATGAGCAGTGCGGACGAGCCTCGCTGAAAAACTGCGCAGCAAAAAAGATCGGCAGGGGGTGTGCTCCTGTCTGTCCGGAAGAGAACTGAGCATTCGAGGAAATCGCGGTACAGCCCTCTGCCAGGAGCTGCAAAAGGGCTTTGCCGAGCTGCGGATGTCCTTCGGTGAGGTGCTAGAGGTCGCCTGGACTTGTTTTCACAGCTTGACGAACCTTGTAGGGGGAACCAAAGGCTGACCAACGTCCTGCCCAGCAGATCCAATCTGAGCAGCTTGCCCAGACCGAGGCGATTGAAAAGGGGGAGTGGGAAATCGTGAATGACTCAGTTTGAAATGGACAGGCTTCATTGGTCGCACTTCGGGGCACCTTATCCTTGGAGCTCGGCGAGGTGTTCGGCTCGGGCATCTCACATGTACACCTGCCGTTCTGCAGACGTGCAGACGATGTGGCGGGTTACTCGAGGTCAGGCACATGCTGTCGGAAGAGATGGCTTCCCAGGCCCCCTGATGGCTCGTGTACGAGTGGTGCTCTTGGCGTGACCCTTGCCCTGACTATTCATCTTTGGCTCCAGGCTAAGGAGGGACGGGCCGGTGGGTGGGGCGGAGTCATGTTCTGTGGCCTCCATGGCATCCCCGCTCTGTGCCGATGCCCGACAGATGGTTTGAGCCTCATTCGTTGGGTTTGCGATGCCAACAGAGCTTGAAAGCATTGCACATGGGGGCCCAACACGAAAATCAGGTTCGCAGTATGTCGGAGCTTGGTCGAGTGCTGCAGTGGCAACGAATCCTGGGCATGTTGGAGTCCTTGCACGCAGGACGCGGCAGCTGTGCCGTAATCGTCGTAATCGTGGGACAGTTGAATTGCTTGAGCTTTGCCTGGACATGTCGGTCACGTGTGTTTGTTTCCGCACGGGTACAGGAAACACTCCGAGCAACGTGGCATGCAGCACCCCGGCTGCAAAGTGGGTACAAACGAACTGGCATGCATCGCTTGATCTTTACTGCAAGCTGCCCCACCCTGTTCACCAGGCATCGCCATGAATGCTTGCACCAAAGCGCTGCAGTGGCCCTCTGCAGTTGCATTGTTCGAAGACCTTTACGCACGAGGTCTGTGGCAGCTGCGTTACAACAATCGGAACTCGTGCATCTTTATTGCTTCGACTTTGACATGCCTGCGTGCGACGGGAGGCAATCCGGATCTATTCTGCTGGAGTGCAGCCATCAGTACTTGTGCCGCGGGGACGCTGTGGCTGGAAGCTCTGCAGATGCTCGAAGCTCTTCCAAGGTGTCTCGGGCCATACTTCAGGTGATACCAATAATACACACAGTTAGCGCTTTGTGGAAGACGTCAGAGGGCAACGACACACTCGGTTCCAAGTCTGCGCTTTGCGGCCTACGGGACCAGTCAGAATTGCTGGACTGAAGCGGTTTCGGTAGAACACTTGGTTGTGACTTTTTCCCTTAGATGTGACTTCCAGCTTTTTCAGCAAAATGACTGAGTTGTAGCTTTTTTCAGCTCCCAAAACAGCGAATCTCTCCAGAAGGTTGCAAAGCATGCATCTTAGTGGAACTAGTTTTGGGTGTCTTTATCACCAAGCCACTAACTTTCTCGTTTATTATTTTGCTGGTGTATTTAGCACCAAATCACAATTTTGTGCTGTATTTAGCACCAAACCAGAACCGTCACACAAGATGTTCAGGGTTTTCGTCTTGGGTAAAGCAACGGTTCTTGCTGGATTCACTCCTTACTGTAGGGTTTTCGTTTTGGGTAAGAGGTTCTCGCTGGATCCGTAGGGTTTTCGTCTTGTGGGAAGTGACTTCGGGTAGTGGGGCTAGGCGGCAGGTGCGGTAGTGGCGATAGGCGGGGTAGGTGGGGTAGGTAGGGTTGGTAGGAAAAAGTTACGTCCAACAGGAAAAAAACTACATGTAAGAGACAAAGTTACAACTTAGCCTGCTACCAGCGATTGTGCCCCGTGCTCTGAAAGCTCCAATCCCAAAGCCGGCGTCAAGAAATCTCAGCATTGGTTTCCGATCTACCCAGAGGATCCGGTACCTTCACGAATCTAATCGCTGGTTTGTACCCGGCTTTTCACAACCCGAGCAGCACTGTAGCGGGGCAGCCTGGCATGATATGCTGCATAGGCGTGGCTTCCAGCCCGACATCGTTATCTTTGGTGGGGTGGCCGCAGCCTGCGCAGCCGGAACAAGCCTCTGGAGCCATGCAGTGGCAATACTGGAGGATGCATGTGCAGCCCAACTGCAGCCACCTGACCGGCAATTCATTGCGCGACTGAAACACAGAGTCGCAATGAGTCGCACTTGCACTTTACTTTAGACTTGGGTTGAAAACGTCGACGGGTTCTTCTGGTCTGAACAGAGCTGTTTGGAGTCTGATGTTGTTCTGGCGACTGTGCGGGTTGTTTCATCCCTGCATACCTGGCCTGACTGCAGTTAGCCATGACACTAACATGTTGCCGCCATGTTGTTTCGCTGCCTGTTGCAAACCACGGCAGCATGTTTCTTAATGGAAGTTTCGATCGTCAACGGCGGAAGTCGTTTGAAAGCCGCGGCAGCGACACAGTAGCTCATCAAAAGCCAACCCGACCAGTGCTAGCTGAGGCCAACTTCTGTACTTTGCAACTCCGTGATAACTGCCTGTGGCAGGGCCGAACGCACGAGACTCGGCCACTCTTCCGACTCTCAAAGGAAGGATTGCGCGAATGCCGAGGTTGGGAGCTTGCCCTGTCCGTTCTCAACGAGATGCCTGCCTTCGGTGCCAACTGCAGCGTGTTGCTTTCATGCACTGCTCTGTCGAGACATGTTGAGACTGTGCAACTGAGTTCGAGCTCTAAGGGTGACGTACGCTGCAACAATGGCGGCCTGTACGCTGGCAGGGCGCTGGCAGAGGCGGCAACGGGCAGATCTGAGTCATCTGAAGCGGCTTTTGAGAGGTGCCTGCAACTCGGGGAGTTGCTGACCGAAGCGAGGCTCAGAAAAAACGCCCTGGCCCTAAAGACTAAGACTTCGGCTGTCGCTTGGGCGGACGTGTCCTGCAGTTTCGCACACTCGCGGCTCCGTCAAGGTCGTCGTGTACGGTTCCCTGATCGATGCATGCGACTCCGGGCACCACTGGGTGCTGGCTTTGCAGCTGCTGCAAGAGATGCCAACGCAGCAAGTGGCTCCGAGCCCAGCACTGCCGAGCACGAGCATCCGAGCATCCGCCACCTTCGCCTTGGATCCAAACCAAGGCACGGAACCTGGTGGTGGTGGCTTCTGCGATCGGAGCTTGTGAAAAATGCTGTCAGTGGGAGACAGCATGGTATCTCTTCCGCCTTTCGTCTGATTCAATTTTCAGGACCTTGCTGAAACTGGTTTTCCAGTTTGCTGAGGAATGCGGATCCAACAAACTTAATCAGGATCAAACTAAACAGGATCAAAAACTGACGCTCCCTCGCTCTCCTCTCTCTCTCGCTCTCTCGCGCTCTCTCTCTCTCTTCCTGTCCGAAGTATTACTACTATTACCCTTATTGCTCTGATAAAGTGAGTATTACTATTGCCAGTATTACAATTCTTGCTGTTCCTACTAGAATTGTTCCTGTTGTACTTACCATTACGAATACTGCTATGTACCGCTAAAGGTTACTACTCCTTATTGCTATTAGTACCATGCGTACTGTTTGAATGATTACTATTATTGTTATTCGTATCAGTATCATTGCTACTGTTATTAATATTATTCAAATTGTTATTGCCACTAGCATGAAGAAATAATCACACTACACACTAATAAGAATAAAGGACAGCAATGTGAATAACACTAGCAGTAACAGTCAACATAAGTAGTAGTAACAATAATGATAATGCCATTATCAATATTATTGTGTTGTTTAACTTGTATTTTTTGGCCGCCCCGCTCCCTCCCCGCCCCCCTTCTGTCTTTGCTTACTAGACTGCGCACATCTGCACATCGAAGACTCTTCAATTAGCAGTTCAGTTAGCCAGAATTATTGATATTGCTAACATTATTCTAGACTATCTAGGGCAACGATACTATCAAAGATACAGTGGCATGATACATTGAACACACATGCGAACTTATACAAGGTAAAGTAAGTCGAACCTTGGTAGCCCTGAGCCCACGAAATGCAGGTCCGTATTATATTGTTATTTGTAGCAGAAATAGGTATGATGATGCTGATTCCGTGTTGTTTCGTGGCATTAGTAATTAATGTTGTTATTCACTGTTATTGACTGAATAGCTTAGTGTTAGTATTAGTATTAGTTTCCGCATTACAATTGGCACTTGCATTAACGGTAGCATCAGCATTAGTATTCGCATGGGGATGTATTCGTATTAGTATTCGTACGAATATTAGTATTGGTGTACGTATTAGTATGACTAGCAATTTGTTATTTATTAGAGTATCAGTATTGGTATTAGTATTAGTATTACAGCCAATATTGTTAGCATTACCAGTATGATTATGATTTTCTAATTGCCAGTATAAATCGGATTATTCATACTATTCTGCCAGCGGAGATCCCCGAACAGTGGAAGACCACACCAGGAGCATGCCATTGTGACCAGGACGTCACGAGCACTGTCACAAGCGAAGAGGCTTGAATTGCTTGAGCAGACACAGACCCTAAACCCTAAACCAGGTCAACTAGTTGCCATCCGTGTGTTCATGTCGCCCTGTTTGCAGACCAGGGCCAGGCGACCACCAAGAGACTGGTAAGAGACAACCAGGAGACCAGCAGGAGACCTCCAGAACATTGCCGAAATGCTTTCCCGCAAATACTGGCGGGATTGCAGACACAGTTGAGAGCACTACGAAATCGCTTTCCACCAAGTACTGTCGCCGCGAGGACCAGAACGAAAGTATTTTCAACCAAGTGCTGGCGCATTTCGGGCGCAGGCGACGTACGCCTTGCCCTTCTTAGCCTGCGACATCCACAAAAACATCTGGAGCACTGCCGCGATTCAAGGTTGTCGAGAGAAGAAAAACATTGGTCCATGTCGAAATCTT